CCCAGGTTGTACTGAAAAAAACAAAGTATACTGCTTGACTCTGCATCAAAAGATGACTGTTTTATGAACCATTATACACAAAGAAAACCAGGCGAGGAAAGTTCCTCAAAATGACCCATGGGCATAGAGGGTTAAAAAGATATAACGCATAATACGGGCACAAAATAAATCGTGTTTGTATACGATTCTTACCTTTTGTCTTCTGCTGCTCCAACAAATCTGACTTTCCCCATCCTTGCATAGTCTCTTTCTCTCCATAAGTCTTCAGTGAAAAAGAATATCCACTTGTATTTCCCAAAGTATAATCCATTCTTCAGAAATAATCCAAAAATGTGCATTTTTCTGTTGCAAAAAAAAAAAAAAGCTCAGAAAAATGTTCAGGCTTCTCTTTCACATTTCACCAAGTTTGAGCTTTGTTTAGCCCCACAAACATATCTAAGTGTTCCTTGAGTCCTTAGCTTTAAAAAGAGGGGTTCCATGAAAAGATAGGAGCAGGTTTCAGTCCGCAGGACCCTTGTGAAAAAGACGAACCGCATCCACTTGCAGAGGGTCCGTTTTTGCCTTGTTGTTGATTACAGGCTAGCGCAATGTGCTAGCATTGAATGATTGATGTGTCTAAGTAACCAATAAAAAGAGCTTTCTTTTGATGGGTGGGACTTGTAGGAACTCTTTTCATTTTCACAGTAAAAGCGTGCGTAAAGACGCTGCTAGTACTGCTGCATATTTCATATGCATTTACACTACTAAAAAAATAATTTGGAAAAAATGTAAAAGAAAATCAGACAGATTTGTAACTTATAAGTACCAAAACTAAAAAATATGCTTTTTATAATGGTGAAATGTTAGTAAAGCAGTTTGGCACAATTTGGAACAACTTTTTGCCAAATTGGTTCCGAATGGCACTACTTGATACAAAAGAGAAACTGCATAAAAACTATAAAACTTAGAAGTCTGAAACTTTACACAGTTGTTGTCAACAACACAATGAACAAATTAGCGTTGAAAAATTTCTTCTTCCAATGAAGTAGGCTTTTTTAGGGCATTTATACATTGAATTTTTTAGGCGAGGCTAAAAAAAACTGTTTTTTTCCCAAACTTCAAAGGATGCAGAGTGAAATAGGAATGACATACATTATTTCAGTGTATATTTACATAAACTAGAAGGGCCTAGCTTTAAAATGATGCATCACACAAGCATGTGAGATATAAGATGTGTTTTTAAATAAGCAAAGACATTTGGGTATGCCAAACTTTTGTGCACGAGCCAAAACAGATGTAGGAGTTTAAGAGGTTAAAGTTACATTTTCTATCTTTGTGAATAAATTGCTAACAATTTACCATCAAGTATTTTTTCAGAGTCATGTTTTTATCCTTTAAATAAGGGAACTAGCGTGAAGATGTTTGAGTTGTCACTAAAGCAAAAAAAAATGCACCTAAAAGTCACTTTTCTGCTTGATATGTTACTGTTTACATACAGCTCGTTTTCTCAGTTTTCTTGCTCAGACCAGGGGCCGTATTCCTAAAGATTCTTACTGCTAAAAGTTGCTCCTAGTGGCCAAATTCTAAGAATTTTCTTAGAATCTTGACCAACTCTTAGAATTTCCCCTAAAAGTGAGGAGTAGCTCCTAGTTAAGATAAAAGCTATTCCTAAAAAATCCTAGCTCTTAAGAGTGCTCTTAAGGGGAGATCCCTTAAGAGTTGAGAGGAGGACTTTTAGCGACTTAAAAGTTCCCTAAGAGCACAAAATGGTGGACGGTGGAGACAGGAGAAATATTCTATACACTGGATGACAGTGAATCAGTGAAACGCTACAGATTCAAGCAGGAGTCATGTTTGTGGTATATTTAAAAGTCAATCATGTGACCAGCTTCTCATTGGCTGGTCAGCAATAACACCTCATCCATTTTACCTTTGTTACACAAAAGTAAGTAGAAATGGTAAAAGTTGAAAGAGAGGAAAAAGTGGTCCTAAATTGTCACACATTCAGTACGAATGAATGAATACTTTATTTTGAGCCATGGCAAACAAGAAAAAAAAGGACAAAACAAACAAAACAACAACAGAATAGAAGTACAAATATACAGTTTTGTTTTATTAACAACAATCCAGCTCAAAAAGGAGTGGGAGAGGATAAGACTTTTAAGCTCCCTTGTACTTGATTTGTACAGTGTATGTATAATATGTTTATATTAATATTGTTTCCTTAATTCCTTATAAGTCTATACATATCACAGCCTTTACTAATCCTAACGTTATCATTATCATCATTTATCCATATAATATTTATAATAATAATTTTCTTTATCATGTATATTATATATAGAGTAATATTTAAATTATATATATAAAATTATAAGTGCTCATGATATATACGTATTATGTGTGATAAATTGGTGCTGAGCAAGCTCTGATGATGGTGTATAAGTCTAACTTTACTATTCACAGTATTTATGTACCATTGATATATCTGACTTTATAGCTTTTGGTTATTATTTACAATAACACAGTGTTCCTAAGATTAGATTCCATGATTGAGTTTGTCCATTTTAGGGCCCTTATTTTGCCTATTATCATCAAAAATATGTTTGTTCTAACTTTTAGGATCAACCAATCACAGCGTCTGAAATGATGACTCATACCTAGCAACGGGGTCGGCCACGCCTCCTCACTAAGATAAAAGTTGTTGTCAATTCCTTGCTCAGAGTTCTCTAAGAGTGTTCTGGAATAACTTTTAAGCTAAGACTCCTAGCTAGGAGTTTTTAGGTTAAGATAAGAGCTCTCTGAGAGGACTCTCAGAATCTTTAGGAATACGGCCCCAGGTGTTTTGGGTGAAAGTATGCTATGTTCTATGGCAGATTGTGCAAGAACAGTAAAAGGTAGAAACAAACTGTTCTTTTCAGAGTAAAGCAGAGAGATTAATCTTTAATTTGGTGCCCTTGGTGTTTACATAGTCTGAAAAATGAATGTTCTGTGGTTCTTCAAAGTTGGGTCAAATCCCCTGAAAACGCTGGCGGAAAGCACTTCTCAAATCTGAAAATGCCTGGCAGTCAGTGAGTTAAGGATCTGACAAGTTTGTTTTCTTCTGTGATTTTTCCCCCTTCACATCTTGCGCCAATCAGGTTTCACCTACGTCATCCAATACACAGTATTTTGTGAACAGCGCCACCACATAGGTGGCGGAATATGTAACATCTACAGTGGTTGGTTCATTTGCAAAAGCACTGGTGTGAATTAGATCCGAACTAGTTGAGAACTGCAACATTGTAACAACTTTAGGGCCCAAGCGAACCACTTTACTGGACCAACAGGTGTGAAAGTACCCTTAGTCCCGCTTTGGACCTGCTTTAAATCCGGTTTATACCTGCTTCAGACCTGCTTTAGACCTGCTTTTGTACTACTTTAGATCTTCTATAATACTGCTTTAGACCTGCCATAAACCTGCTTTTGTACTAAGGCTTAGAATTTTCTTTTAATAAGACAAACAACGTAAAGAAGCTAGTACTGCTTAATTACCTGACATGTTTGGCCGGTATACTTCTGCCTTTGTTAGAAGGCGTCACGCGTCTCTTATCAGCTGTTGTTGCCTGATGCGGCCAGTCTGGCCGCGCCCCCCGCCACATTGTGGTTTTTGGAGAAGTGAATCCTAAGTGTGAGCCATGGTGAAAGCCCCCTCATCTCTGTTAATTGTCTGTGCACCCCACTTCCTGATTTCGTCGAGATAGTCTCTCGTATCCATCTTTGTACTTATGTTCTTCCGTTCCTACTATTTTTGAGTTGTCACAGTCCATTATATGATTTTATCTTTTGCAATGGTCTGATATTGCTGATTTGAAGTTTTCCTGTGTTGACTTTTCCTTGGTTGATCTTGTCGGACCTTCTTTAGACCAGCTCTAGATCTGCTTGAGACCTGGTTTGAATCCGGTTTATACCTGCATCAGATCTGCTTTAGGCCTGCTTTAGTACTGCTTTTGACCTGCTTCAGACCTGCTATAGGCTTGCCTTAGACCTGCTTTGTAAACGTGCTTTAGACATGGTGTGGAGCGACTTTAGACCAGCTCTAGACCTGCTTTAGACCTGGTTTAAATCCGGTTTATACTTTGTTACTGCTTCTGACCTGCCTTAGACCTAGTTTAAATCCGGTTTATACCTGCTTTAGACCTGCATTAGACCTGCTTTCATACTACTTTAGATCTGCTTTACACCTACACAGGTGACCTGTTTTAGTACTGAATTAGACCCGCTTTAGTCCTGCTTTGGATCTGCTTCTGACCCGCTTTTGCTTTACTTTAGACCAGGTTTAGTCCTGCTTTGGACCCGTTTTAGATGTGCTTTAGACTGCGGGACAACGATAAAGAGCGTCACCGGTGTGGCATTGCAGCGGGCTACTGTCGTAGCGGGACAGCAACGTGGCGCCATAGCGGGACAGGGCTGTTGTAGCAGGACAGCGGCCCAGCGTCACAGTGGGCCAGCCTGCAAAGCTGAAAAGAGAAACCTCGAATCACCTTCACTCAAATAAAAAGGACCAACGAGCAGCATACAAGCAGTGCAGTGACAGTCATGCACCTCGCCAACAGCCCAGACAAAGCGCCCCAACGATCCCTCAGTCGAAAGCCATCTCCGGTGACTGGAATGACTTGCAGATTAGCTTTATTAAATTTTTGCCTTCCATTTCCCGGATTGCGTTGTCATTCCAAGCATGTCTTCATACCAACCAGGTGTTCATACCAATCACGTCGTCACGCAAATCACAAATGCAGTGGGTAAAATCGAACAGCCTGAAGTCCAATGCAGTGGGTAAAAACGAACAGCCTGCAAGCCAAGTTGACGGGATTAAACTGTCACGCCACAGATCAGTACAGTTCATGGCAGTAAGAGGAAAACAAACAGGACCAACACTGTACCACGAGTAGAGACAGGGAAGAGGGCGGACAGCGGCAGGTAGACAGAAACCTCGTGCCCGGTATGGAAGCGGCAGGGCGTGCGGAGTAACGCCTGACCGCATGCAGCAGCGGCCGTGGGGAGACGAGTGGCAGCAAGTCCGCAGAAGAGGAGCCCGAGACCAAGCAGAGGACGATCAACCGTGCGAGGCGTGAGTAAACGAAGTGACGCCAGAACAACCCATTGGAGCTTGAAGGGCTGTTTGATAAGCTGTGCTCTGCTTTTAAACGCTGGCTTGATTGACACAGCTGACAGGGAGTTGATGAGCTGATTATGACAGGCTTGGTGGGGCGTGGTCCAGCCTGATGTGATAATGTAGGTAGTCTACTAGTGATGGGTCCAGCAACACTGATACACCGGCGCATGTGCCGAGTTCGTTTAGCGAAACCTCGTATCGGCGCGCGTGTCGCTTTATGAAAAAGCCACGTGACCGATACAGCCGCAGTGTCGCTTGTCACCGACATGGCAAACTGTGTTTAAAAGGTTCCGCATCTGCAAGTGTCACCGGTATGAACCGCTCTCAGAAAAAGAAAATAACCCTTTCAAAAAGGAAAAGCATCCCATTTTACAGCATAAAAATGAAATCTGCAACTAAAAGAAAGTATTCTGCAGTGTGATACTGCAAATAACAGCAAATAAGGCAATGTTTGTATTTCACATTTCACGCTTTATCTACAATCAAGCTTTAGTTTGAAACGCAAAATCTAGTTAGGCATGGTGGATGAGTGGATAGCGCTCCCGCCTCGCGTTTGAGAGAACTGGGTACGAATCCCTGTCGGACCTCAAAAGTTTATGTTGACATCACAGTCTTGAATAATTTTGAGAAATTTAAGTGCAGAAAATGTTTTTTCAAGTATACTTTAGTTGCCAGGGTTTACAGTGCACTTTGGACATGCTTATTGTTTTGAAAAATAAAATTATAATATTATATATATATATATATATATATATATATATAAAAAATCACTCAATTACATTTTGCTTAATGAATACATTCACAACTATCACTTTAATTTTCACATAAAATAAAATAACACAGACAATGCAGTTACGTAATATTGTGTGCAGACAAGTATGTAAAGCTCATTGAATCAGTGAGTTGGATGCAATGATTTATCAGATCCACCAGGTGTCAGTATAGAGCAGCACAAGCAACACTGTTGCGGCACAGTATCAATACAGTTCGTTGGATGTGCCGAAAACGATACGTGAGGTTTCATTTACCCATCACTATAGTCTACCATCCTGAATCTTTGCTTAAGCTGCATGTTTGTTTTGGAGAATGCGCGTGCACACGGAGAGAAAAACAAGAAAGAACAAGAAATATTTTGACCGAGACTCAAAGCTGGGCCGAGTGACTGAGAAGTTCGTATTTAAGACTTTAAGACTATTTAAGACTTATATTAACACACAAAATCGCTTACTTCTGCTTTAAGTGTTTGGTCTCCTGAGAGAGACCTGGTACCCCCCCACTACAAACAAGCCAGAAACACAAATATTCTCCTCACTGACCCGACACATCTCTGACATCTAATCCGAACCCTAACCTTCTGTTACATTGAGTCCTTGTTGTTCACACTCTCTTTTTTTTAGACATAGACCAGAGACTATTTCTGTGTCCAAATTCAGAGGCATGGAGGCTCCAGCTGGGAGAAGACAGTGAAACCAAAATGGAATTTGGACACCTCAAGGCTTTGTCACCTAGCAACCCAAGACTCAGAGCGGAGTGGAGAGAATGTAATGGAAAAAATTAAATGAGAATGGTTTAAGCATGGTGGGTTAATTGTGATGGTTAATACATTATTTAGGGGTCTTTATTTCATGGAAGGAAAGGTATTTGAGACAATGTTTGAATCAGAATCAGAATCCTTTTAATACCTTTTATGTGAGTATCAAGTCACATATGAGGAAGCAGCTTTGGCTCTCGTTGCAAACAAGTTAAAGCAGAATAACAACAGGAAGGCATGCATAAATAGAAATCTAGAGGTCAGTGATGGTTTTTGAAGTGTTCATGAGTATGCAGTTTGTTACTGGGTTTAGTTATTAGACAGTGATTGACCATCTCCTTTGATGTGACTGTTTTCCTTATGTGGATTTGGTTAGAAGATCTAACGCTGGGACTTATTTTTTGAGCTAGCAGGCTTGGTTGTGGAAGTAGTTATGAAAATTTAAACAGAAGACGTTCTCTGTTATAACAATTGTTTAAAAAATAAATAAAACCAATTGTATTTGCAGTAATCATAGTATTGTTGCATACGTTTATACATCTGTTGCAGAGAGCGCACCCGGAGAGAAGACCCCAAGAGCGTACCCCGAGAGCTCGACCCAGAGAGAATAATAATAATAATAATACATTTATTTCTTAGGCGCCTTTCTTGACACTCAAGGTCGCCTTACATACAAGTAAAAAGTGCATTTTAAAAATAGTTAAAATACAAAGTTAAAAGCATCATGGACAGAGGAGAGTGTGGTTATGTTAGTGAGTAGGTTTGTCTAAACAGATGAGTTTTGAGCTTGGATTTGAAGAATGTGAGTAAGTCGGTGTTGACCCACAGAGGGGACCCTGAGAGCTGGACCCGGAGAGAAGACCCCAAGAGGGGACCCTGAGAGCTGGCCCCCAAAAAGCTGGACCCGGAGACCGGACCCCAAGAGCGGACCCCGAGAGTGGATCCCGAGAGCAAGACCCGGAGAGTGGACCCAGAGAGCAGATCCCAAGAGCGGATCTAGACAGTGCATCCAGAGAGCAGACCCATAGAGCTGGACCCATAGAGCTGGACCCAGAGAGCTGGACCCAGAGAGAGGGCCCCAAGTGGAAACCCCGAGAGCGGTTCCGAAGTTAGACCTTGAGACCAGACATGAACATTGACTTTCCTTCTTGTCAATGATGCTTTCATAATAACATTTTCGCTGGTTATTTTTCTGGCAGTAGTTTGCGAGTGGCTTTGCGCTGTCATTCAGCTCATTGGACTCAGCTCATTTATATTATGAAACAGCATTGGGTAGAACAAAAATGGATAGGCCAAGACAAAACGTCAACACCTAGCTGGTGCCACGTTGCGAATTGGTGCCACATCACAAATTGAAGCGAGGCAATTCGCTCCCTCACGAGAACTATAGCTTGAGGGAGTCAATTAAAAAAACGTCTTTGAGCATGTCTATGACGACAAATAGAACTTTCAGTAGGTTTAAAGCATAGAAAAGTATGATATGGGACCTTTTAATCTGTGGTTTTGTGCTCTCTGTGATCCTGGTGTTTATGTAAGGGACTTGTCGGTACTTATTTTTCGATAATGACCTGCGTACAATACATTGCCCTCTTTTTATATGGCTTTGTACCAACCGAACACACACAAAATACACTTCAGTCCACTTGCTGAAAGGTTTATTTAAAGACTGCAAATAAATTAGTTCCCAAAGGTTTTCCTGTGGCAGGAGAGTAACAGTTAGGCTAGCTAACCGACATCAAAACTAGCCTGGTTGTACCACACCTTAGTACAAATTACATTTCATACTAAGGTCTGGATTTGCTCCATTGAGCTCCGTGAACAGGTGGGAGGGGTTAACTCCTTTTGCAGATTGAAACGATTGGATCTGAGTTTACCGTGACGTATGTAATGCGCCCAAGTTTGTTGTTAACATTTAGCATTTAGCCCAGCCATCTCCTTTGCCGCTAACGGAGCCCGTAGGGAGTAGCGCCACAATCTTGACCAGTGATTACATTTGCAAAACATTGCTCTTGCTCCTGCTTCAATTTCTTGATAGAACCAGACCAGAATACTTTACTATCGCATTCTTCGCCATTGCCAAACTACAACCTGCCCGTTCGGCACAAACTCTTGACGTCACTGGCACCGACCTACAACACCCGCCTTCCGCGCTCTCTGAGTAGCCGGTCGAAATACGACCGATTGTATTCGCTAACACAGGGACCAGACCCAGACGGTTACATGCAGTGGAATGGTGATTGAGTGGAGTGTATGGATGGCTATGGCCAGGCTATGTTGTACATAGTAATTGATATTTTTTGGAATCTGTATCACATGGTGTTCAATAAAAATAAAAAAATGAAAAGAAGACTCAGGTTGTGTCAAACCTAAAAGCGGAAGTGAACCGACAACAAACCCTGGCTCCAAATTTCACGGAGACAGAGCTTGAAGACCCAAGTGATAAGGGTGAGGAACTAACAGGGTACTTTCCATCTGTGAAATGTAAAACAGTTCAGAATGAGGTGGACATGTTTTTGCATTCATCTGAAACCAAACTGGTCAGTGCCTTCCAAAACCTAACCTTGCCTGCAAGCTGAATTCTCGCGGTATTTGTGAGTTCACAAACACTCGAGAATACATCTTGTCCCGCTCCCGCCAACCCTTTTCGAGTGAACATCTAGGTGTTCAAGCCAATCACGCGCCAGTCAGGGGGTGTAGGGCGGGATATCCGGGTTTGACGAAAGCAAGAAGTGCCGGGCCGAAGCAAAACAAACATGGCTACGCAGGAGGACGGACGCGTAGCTGAGGCTATCAAGTCAGTTTTAGCAGAATCTCCAATTTCTTTTTTGAAAGATGAACAGCGAGAGGCGCTTTGTGCATTTCTGGACGGCAACCTTGGTAGGCGGGCACACAGCGTCACTTCGCCCAATCAGCTTGAAGTATTCTGCTGCTGAGATTCAGATTCAGATTCAGTTTATTTTGCCATTTGCAGTAAAAAAACCACATTGGAATACATTAGCAAAAGTCTCCAATGTGCACAGACAAATACAGACATAAAACAACATTAAAAGACAAAAATAAAACAAATAAAACAGTAAACAAATGTCACTGTGAAATCGATCGACTAAAACAGTTCAAAACAAGTGCAAATCATTAAAGTGCTCTGTTCACACTGATAACAGCTTGTGGATAAAAACTGTTAGCGTAACGAGATGTCCTGCATCTCAGAGAGCGATATCTTCTGCCAGAGGGAAGAAGCTGGAACATGGCTTTCCCAGGGTGGCCAGAAGAGTCATTGATGATTTTAAGAGCTTTGTTTAAAAGTCTGGATTTATAAAGAACCTCCAGAACAGGAAGCTCACAGCCCACAGTCCTCTTTGCAGAGCGGAGCACCTTGTTTAAAGCTCTCTTTTCTTTATCTGTGATGTTTCCAAACCACACAGACACAGAACCAACAAGTAAACTCTCAATGGTGCAGCGATAAAAGTTAAGCAGAATCTTAGAGTTAGTGGTAAATTCTCTAAGTTTACGCAGAAAGTAGAGACGCTGACGAGCTTTCTTAACGACTCGGTCAGTGTTTTTAACCCATTTCAGGTCGTTAGACAGAGTTAGACCCAGAAACTTGCACTCCTCTACGATCTGTACCTGGGAGTTGTCGATTACAACAGGCAAATGAGAACTATTGCGACTGAAGTCGTAGACCAGTTCACATGTTTTCGATGCGTTCAACTGGAGGTTGTTAGTTTTACTCCACTGAACCACATTTTGTATCTCTGCTCTATAAGAGGATTCATCATTGTCACTGATGAGACCGATGATGGTGGTGTCATCAGCATATTTAATTATCAAGTTTGAGTCAGAGGAGGACACACAATCGTGAGTGTACAAAGTAAAAAGCAAAGGACTCAAAATACATCCCTGAGGAGAACCAGTGCTCACAGAAACAACATCAGAAAAACAGTCATTGATTTTTACTCTCTGAGATCTGTCAGTTAAAAAGCTAAAAATCCATTTACACATGGCAACACTTAAACCGAGAGACATGAGCTTTTCAATCAGTTTACCTGGGACAAGGCAGTTAAAAGCAGAGCTATAATCGATGAAAAGCATTCTCGCGACAGATTTACTAGTGTCCAAGTGACTGTAGACAGAGTTCAGAGCAAAGGAGATGGCATCCTCCACACTCCTGTTCTGTCTGTAAGCAAACTGGAGCGGGTCAACACTCACAGGGATCTGGCTCTTAATGAAGTCCAGCACAAGCCGCTCAAAAGTTTTCATAAGAACAGACGTGAGGGCCACAGGACGATAGTCATTCAGGCATGTCACAGGAGTTTTCTTAGGAACTGGAATGATGGTCGACTCTTTAAAGCAGTTCGGCACAGTACAGTTCCTTAGCGACAGGTTGAAAATGTCTGTTAGCACAGGAGCAAGTTGCTCAGAGCACAGTTTCAGGACACGAGGAGGGATGCCGTCCGGGCCTGGGGCTTTCCGGACTGTGGTCCTGGACAAGACACGCCTGACTTCCTCCTGAGTCACGGTGAAGGTACCTTGATTGAAACACTCAGGGAATACAGTAGGACAGGCATCAGCGGATTCAAAGCGACAGTAGAACGTGTTCAGCTCGTTTGGCAGAGCTTGGCCGACAGATGCAATTTTCCCAGCGCTAGGTTTCCACGATGTGATGGCTTTAATACCGTTCCACATGCGCCGAGGGTCATCTTCCTCAAAATAACTCTTTAACCTGTCCCCGTAACTGCGCTTTGCAGATTTAATAGAACGTTTCAATGAGTAACAGGATAGCTTATAAGCAACTGTATCATTTGATTGAAACGCCAACGCACGCTCATGAAGTTTCAGTTTCACTTCCGCGTTCATCCAAGGGTTTTGACTAAAATGTTCTTTAATGACCTTCTGTGGGACACAGCCGTCAATACAGAAGCGTATGTATCCAGACACAGCGTCACAGAATTCATTGACGTCCTCTGACTGAAACACAGACCAGTCCGTAGCATCAAAACAACCTTGTAGCTTCATGCTAGCCTCCTCAGACCAACACTGCACAGTGCGAGAGGTTGGTTTATGTTCCCTGCTCCTCTGAGTATACGAAGGAAGAAGGAGAACAGAGGAGTGGTCAGACTTTCCAAAAGGAGGTCTGAGACTGGACCTGTAAGCTCCCTTCACGTTACTGTAGCAGTGATCCAGAACATGTGCTCCTCTTGTAGCTTGAGTCACATGTTGGTAAAAGTTCGGGAGTACAGTCTTTAAATTACATTTATTGAAATCCCCAGCAACAATGATGACTGCGTTAGGATGAGCAGACTCATGTTTGTGAAGGATCTCGCTCAGATCCTGTAGGGCTACTTTGTAATCCGCCCGTGGGTGAATGTAAACAGCACATAAAAATATCACTGAAAACTCACGGGGAAGATAAAAAGGGCGGCAGCTCAAGACCAGGCATTCCAGATTGGCAGTACATGTTTGGTTCACGATTCGAGTGCCCGTGCACCAGCGCTGATTAATTAGAATGCACACACCTCCGCCTCTGGCCTTGCCCGTGGTCTCCTTCACTCTGTCCGTGCGGTGAGCGGTGAATCCCGGGGGCTGAACAGCAGAGTCCGGGACGTTCGAGTGGAGCCACGTCTCGCTGAGGCAGAACACAGCGCAGTCCCGGGCCTCGCGCTGGCTCTGGACCCGACACAGGAGCTCGTCCGTCTTGTTGGGCAGAGACTGGACGTTGGCCAGGTAGATGGAGGGCAAAGGGGTCCTGGAGGAGCGGCTACGAACGAGCAGACCGCCTCGCCTTCCCCGGTGTCTGCGCCTCCTTCGCCGACTCGAGGTGCCCAGCTCCACACCGCGGAGAGAACGCCGGAGACGCCCAGTCCCCTCGCTCTGTTGGCGGCCACCGCCGCGGCCCGCCTGCCGTGCTCCACCAGCCTCTCGAGTGGGACACTCGAGGAAGTTTGTGCACCTCAGTTCAGGTAAAACGAGTGACCCGTCACCCGCGTGATCCCGAATGTGTAGAAGTGTTTGCCGATCATATTTCACTGTG